GCATTATAACTCTGGCAGGGTAGAGAGGGTAGGCTTTCTCCAGACTGAGATTAGACAGCATGGGTTTGCCTGGTTTTTGAGCAGTCCCAGAAAGGAGGAGCATTGGGAACTGATGGTTGAGATAGCAGCCAAAAGAGTGTGGATCGCTTGCCAGGATTTTGGATGAGACAGACAGATGCCACATAAAAGCTGCATTACTTCCATTCCCTGCAGGTTTCTCTTTCCCAACTTCTGAGTTCTCAGGAGAAGAGAGGGGACCTTCCCACAAGTCCCAGGGCAGCAGCATCTCTGCTCCCAGGGGCACAGACAGGCCTCAAGCACTATGACATTCAGAAATTCTGCTTTGTGCATTGGCAGTAATTCAGGCACAAACCAAAATGTATGAGCTTCCTTCTCTTTCAGCCTACTAAGAATGTTGGAAAAATTGCATGCAAGGATGGGAAAATATTTATTCCTATTCTGGGCTAGAGGTTTCTGTGGGGCTGGATAAGGGGTAACGCAAAGCACAGAGTGGTGGCAAGTCAATCCCAAACAGGCTATGGCCAAACCTGGCCAAGAAGCAAGTAAGCTGTGATAGACTGGAAAAGCAGGGGTAGGAGATGGCTTATATCTGTTTGAGATTGTGAGGCTCTGTTGGCTTTCATCTAGATTGCTCATGCAAATCGTTTTATGTATTGTTGTTTATTTTACAGCAAATCTTGCCAGACTTCCCTGGCTTCCACGATGCTCACATAGCCCACGTAGCTGCATAAAACCCTTCTGAAGGCTGGAAGCACTGCAGGAGCCTGTCCCACCCCCAGGCTTCCCCTCCCGATCGCTGTGGGTAAGCAACGTCTCGTGGTGTACCCTGGGTTGGGAGAGAGGAGGGAAGTGGGGAATATTTCAAGAGCTGAGCTGTATGTGGCTCTGAAATGAAAGTGTTAATTAACATAAAGTCTATGACCCATCTGTCAGATATCAGACAGTCAGTCCTAAAAAGTGTATAAGTAAATAAATACATACATACACGGTTCCCAGGCGGCCGGCAGGCGTGCATCTCTCACACCTGCAGCCAGGATGACCCTCGATGCCCAGCTAAATGTTGTCAGAATAGAGAAAAACCAGAAAAGGAAGACACTAACACTTCTGTTTTCCTGCATTCCCAGTGCTTTCCTGTTCTTCCTCCCCAGCTGCCAGCCAGCAGCGGGGAAGGACAGCATGTCAATTTTTTCCTGAGATGTGGCCTTCCGTCAGAAAGCATTGTGTGGCTGAGCTGGTCTTCGCCTCCTTGTTTTTCTCACACGCAAAGAGGGGAGCGCTGAGGGTACTGGGTTCAGTATAAAGGGAATGGTAGAGATTAATGACTTGTGATAATATTATCAAACTGGATGGGCTAACTGGCTTAAGCTCCCTAAAGGGTCTGTGTTATGGTGTCTCCCAGACCAGAGAGACCAGGTAGCCCAAAGAAGAGCTGTGGAAGGGGCAACTGCTGTGGCAAGGTTGTCCTCCTCCCTCATGGCAGAGCAAGGATCCACATCCCTTTCTTTCTCTCCATCTGATCTGGGCAAACTGGTGTGCTGCATAATGCTAAGAAACCAGATGAGCAAAGCTGCTATGAGATCTTGTTTCATCCCTTCTGTGGTGAATAGTACAGAATTTTTGAGTGGTGGGTGACAAGTTTGAAATATAAAGACAGATTTTTCTCTAGAGGTACGCAAAGGAAGGACAGGAGGCAATGCACCCATGCTGAAGAATCTGAAACTGTGGTTAGATTTAATGAAAAATGTGTTCATGGTGAGGATGGTTAAACAATGGAATGATCCCAGAGGGGCTGTGGATCCTCCATCCTTGGCAGTATCCAGCATCCGAATGGATGAGGCCCTGAGCTATTCAGTCTGGCTTTGAGGTTAACTCTGCTTTAAGCAGGTGGTTGGACCACATGATTCTGCAAGGTCCTATCCCACCTGAATTATTCTGTGATTCTAAAAATAAAAGTACTGTCACTAGTGACACAAACCCTCACAGTCTAGCAAAGCCCAAGCAAGTGTGGATACTTATAGAGCAAAAGATGATATTCCCAGAACATTTTCAGACAGACACAAGAAATCATGGAGGCACATTTCGGTGGAAGTCTTTGCCTCTCCAAATAGTCTGTTTAATAGATGTTAATGTAACACTAGGAAATACGTGCCCGTAGAGGTCACACCTTATTTTTTTCTGCAGGCACATATTTTATCTTGCTTCCTGACCTTCTTCTGAGCAAAAAAAAAGATTAAAATGGTTAAATTTTAAAAAGTAACATGAGAATGCAGTGCAGTAGCTTGATTTTTTGGTCGTGTTTTCCCTCATTGTGGTTTGTGCTGTTGTGTTTTTTTCACTCAGTTTGACTCACAACTTGTGTGCGCAACTTCGGTCATGCAGCAGAAGGCCGCAGACTTTGCACTTCTTCAAGCTTTGTGTTTTCTTAGTCCAAAATCTTGATCTAATCTACAAACCTGCTATCTACTAGACTCACCCGTTCACTGGTAAGGAGATAAGGCACCTCTGTGCTTGAAGAAGGAAAGGCAGAAGGAAGTAGTGCTTAACACTGAACTGGTTTGCATGGGCTGGGTAAATGTCTCCAGGCTCAATGTCTTCTCACCCTCTACTTCGAAAGTGCCCTGTGACATCCTGACCTTCTCAGGGACCTGTGTCCTCAGCACATGCACACAGTGGAAGGTATCTGCTGTCTCCTGCAAAGTCAAAGAGGGTCTCAGCAGGCACAAATCAGCATGCTCAACCACTGCTTTTTTTTTCTCTGCAATTGATGCTTTCTGATCACTCTGGCTCTCGCCAGGAGTTGCAGATCTCCCATGGGCCTCTAGGCGAGGGTATCCTCTGGAGTGTGGATTTCCGTGTCCCAGCCCACTCCCTGCTCAGGCAATTGGAGCACCAGCAGCCATGCAGGGGAATAGCACAGGGCACCGCTCGCACGGCGCGATGGGTCCCAGCCTGCGAACCCATGGTGGTTAAAGACTTCCTGGCCACGTGCTGCCAGCTGGCAGTGTGCCCTGAGCCACGTCCAAAGTGACCTCATGCTCCATCACAGCCGGGGAGTGACTCAGGAGGAGCCTGGCCTGACACTGTCAGGCGGTGTCTGGTTCAGGCACCCCCATGCTATTGTCCTCCCTCTTCCCCCCGCCCCGCGTTGGCCCATCCCTGGTGGAGGGGGACTTTGAGCTATTTGTGGGTAGCAAAGGCAGTGCCATAAGGGTATGCGGTCTGTGGAGACTGGCTGAGGACAGGGAGAACTGTGGGAGGAAAGATCTCTGGGTTGTGCAGAGCTGCCATGCGTGGAGGTCACAAATTGTTCCCACCCGTCCATAACGAGCCCGGAGACCCAACACTGAGCAGAGCGGGGCACGAAGACAAATAGAGTGTGTTTGTTGTGGGCTGATGGGCTCCTGGAGAGCCGTTTCTAGCAGGCAGGGTGCTGTGGGGCTGTTCCTCCACCCAGGAGAAGTGACACAGATCTGACACAGGGCATCTGCATCAGTTCCTGTCCCTGTCACGAGCTCCTGTGGGACTCCGAGTAGTTTGTGTGCATGTGCCTGTGATGGCTGTGGGTGCATCATCCTGTGTGGGAGGTGACTGGGAAGGCAGCTCAGGGGTCTATAGGGTCTGTCCCATCTCTCAAGGGCTCAGCCATACCTGAGATGCTCCCAGCCATCGTCCCCAGCACCTCTCCTTGCTTTGAGTACCAGCTATGCTGGAGAGTCTCTCTGGTGCTGTGGGTTCAGCCGAAGTCCTCACATGCTGGGACAGGACATTGTGTGAGAGAAATGCAAGTGGTTTCCATTCTTGGTGTAAAACCATACCCAGAGAAGTGTTAAGAGGGGCCAGGACACTGGAGAGGTGATGAGCCCTGGAAGCCGAGCTGCAGGTTGAGACAAGGTGCTGTGTCGAGGGGAGCCCAGCTGAGCCCAGCACTGCAGAGCTGCCTCCACCCTGCAGCCCCCGGTGCCCTTCCCCGGCTCCCCTCCACTGTTGCAGTGCTTCAGGGACCAGGAGGAGGAGAGAGGAAAGCAAAATTATGGGGCACGAGGTCCCTGCTCTTTGGAGGGCTCTTTCCAGGGAAGTGCTGAGACCACCGGAGATGTAACCATCACATTTCTGTAGGGAACTTGGGAGGGGGACTGCTGATGGTGCAGGAGCAGGGACAGGGCTGAGGACATGCAGCAAGTGCAGCTCTCACTCTTCCAGCAACTGGAGTGGAAGGGTTAAGCCCCGGCCCGGACCCCAACCTCCCCCTGTCCTTCTGGGCAGCAGAGCCAGTTGGTGACAAGAGGCTGATGCTGATGAGGCAGCATGTGAAGCTGGAGCTGTGAATGGGGCTTTATCCCTGGAGGGACCTGCCCCTGCTCAGTCCCTGCCCTGCTGCCAGCACCAGCTGCAGGCAGAGTCCTGTGCGCAGCGACGTGCCAGTAGCCTCTGAGCGAGCACACGGGGCTGGGGAGGCAGGAGGCTGAGGTCCCTCCCACAGAGCGTGGAGGTATCCCGGGAAGACGTGGCTGATCTGTGCTCCGGTGCATGGGGCTTTTGTGAGGGATACAGGGGAAGGTCTGCAGGCCAGCCTGGAGCAACCAAGGCCCAAGGTTTGGCAGGGGGTTGTTTGGTACAGGGGAGCAGGGTCTCTGTCTAATGGTGTCTTCTCTTCTTGCCTCTTTCAGATGAAAGACACAGGAAAGGAAGGACGCAGCCCTGGTTGTTCCCTTATGGTGCTGCTCTGGGGATGCTCTACCATGTTCTGCAGCCCTGCCTGGCAGGTGAGCTCGGCCCTAGCACATGGACCATAGCTCTCCAGGTGGCACTGCTGCAGAAGGGAGCTCCACCAGGCTCCAAAGAATGAGACAGAGGCATCCCCACTTGAGAAATGCAGCTGTCTTCGCAACCACTGCTGCCTTGACCCTCCACTTCCTTGTAAGGGTGTAGATCCATCTGTGCAACCACCCCACTGTGCCCTCACCACCCAGCCACCCACCATGCCAGAGCTGGCAGAGCTGAGCAGCCCTCGCACCCCTGCGGACGCGGACCACATCCAGAGGAACATCTTGGAAGAGCACGTGGAGCTCTGGTGGTTCCAGGACCCTAAGAAGTCCATCCTGTGCTACGGAATGGCTGTGGTGCTGATCCTGGCCTGCGGGATCGGGGACAGCATCCTGCTGTATAGAACAAGTTGCCGATTCTGGCCGTGGGCACCACGCTCTGCCTCCTGGCCCTGCTCGTGCTGCTGAAGCAGCTGCTGAGCTCTGCAATCCAGGACATGAACTGCATCCGCAGCCGGGATCAGATTGAGCTCCTGAAGAGTGGGGGCTTCTCGGACTGCCTGGTGCTGCTGCTCAGCGCCCTGGTGCTGGTGATCTGCGGGGTGGTGCTCACCATCCTCTCCACCACGACTATGCAGCTCAGCCCTGCCCGGCCGCTGGCCAGCATGTTCACCAGCGGGGTGGTCCTCCTGACTGCTGGAAGTGCCATCCTCCTCTGCCTGCTGCTCTACCTGCTCTGCACCTCCTGTCGCCAGGCTGCTCCTCGGAGCCTGGAGACTGGCGAGATCCGCATCTTCACCATCTCTGGCCGCCTCGCTGCAAACAGGCGGCTTCCTCCCACCTCCAGCATGGCCAACCTCATCTGACCCAGGACATCCCTGCATGAGCCTCACCGGACACAACCGTCAGCAGGACTCATGCTGGCCTTTCCTCAAGGAAGGGTGAGTGTTGCGGTGTGCCTCATGCTCCTTTCGGAGATGACTGGCGCTTGCTTCACCCCAGGCCAACAGCATGGCAGAGACTTGGGATGCCTGGATGGGCACTGCGACCGGGCGCATCAGGAGTGTAGCACTGGCCCAGTTGGAGTTTGACGTCCGCAAAGCCTCCTGCGACAGCTGCTGCCTGCCCGGCTGTGTGCGCTGTCACAGTGTTAAGGTGAGCCTGTCCTGGACCTCTGGGGACCCCGGTACTTGCTTGGTTCCCGCAGCTCCCAGGGCTGTTGTGCACTCTTCTGGCAGGAGCGGCTGCAGAGCCACCAGCTCAGACCCGTGTCTCAGCTGGGATGGACGCTTCAGGCCCCTGAGCCTGGGAAGGTGGGCACACACTGAGCATGCTGTGATGCCCTGTGCCCTGCGTCCCCTCCCTCCCTCCCTCCCTCCCCGGCTGCAGGACCCCT